GCCCCTGCCCTGAAACAGGCTGGCTGGAACCAGGACCCTGCAGCCCCAACCCCGCAGCTTCTGTTGAGGGCTGCAGTCGGACACGCGTGCCCTGGCCCCGTGGCTTAGTTCTGCCAGGGGCTGCAGCCAGGGACACATGCTCCCTAGCCCCATGGCTTAGTTCTGTCAGGGGCTGCAGTCAGGGCCATGCACCCGAGTCGTGTGGTGTCCAGGGCTTGGCAGGGGCTGCAGCCGGGGCTATGGACCCTAGCCCCACGGCGTCCCGGGCTCGGTGGGGGCTGCAGCTGGGGCCATGCACCCTAGCCTTACTGAAATCTTAGCCTTACTGATAACAGTCTTCAAATATGTGAAGGGCTGTTATAAAGGGGACGTTGATCAGTTATTCTCAATGTATAGTGAAGGCAGGACAAGATACAATGGGCTTAATCTGCAGCAAGCGAGATTTAGGTTAGATATTAGGAAAAACCTGACTAGAAGGGTAGTTAAGCTACGGAATAGGCTTCCAAAAGTGGATGCAGAATCCCCATCACTAGAGGTTTTTAAAAACAGGTTGCACAAAGTCCTGTCAGGGATGGTCTAGGTTTTCTTGGTCCTGCAACAGCACAAGGGACTGGACTTGATCACTTCTCAAGGTCCCTTTCAGACCTACATTTGTATGATTCTACATAGACTCAGGCGGGACCATTGTGATCATCTAGTCTGATTTCCTGCACATTGCAGGCCACAGAACCTCGCCCGCCCACCCACACCTGTTATAAGACTCCTAACCTATGTCTGAGTTACTGAAGTCCTCAAATCATGGTGTGAAGACTTCAATCTACAGAGAACTCACCATTTATACTAGTTTAAACCTGCAAGTGACCCATGCTGCGGAGAAAGATGAAAACCCCCCAGGATCTTTGCCAGTCTGACCCGGGAGAAAATTCCTTCCCAACCCCAAATATAGTGATCAGTTAGACCCTGAGCCCTGCAGGAAGATACCTAGGAAAGAATTCTGGTACATCAAGGAAAAACATACATTTAGTGCTGTCCCACGCGCCAACAGAATGCCTGCACTGTAAATCAATGTCACTTCAGAGATTAGTGCTATAGCAACAGCACACTCCAACTCCAGGGAGGTAAGGTGGTAGTAGTTGGGGAGAAAGCAAATGGCTCCCTTAAACCACCTCAGGGTGGTGGAGCAGTAGTATTAATGAGTTCCAAAGGAGAGCTAGGCCCATCTAACCTGTGATAGGTGCACAATATGGAAAAGCTTAACATTAAGACTCTTTGGGGGATGGTGAGAAGAGAAATAAAAAGAACAAAATGGTGTGATCCCAAAGGAATACTACCTTCCAGAACCCTGAGTTTGCTGTAGCCACAACCAGCAACTCAAATAAATGAGCTGCATTTGCCACAATATATCTGATGTTTCACAAAATGGATTTATCTAACCTGGGTCTAAGAAAAAGAAAACAACAAAGCTGTCCATGCTCCATTATCCACATTATGTTCTAAGTTGCAACAGTCCCATTTTTAGAAAGGTTTTCCTACTGTATAATTTAGTGCCTTCTTCTCTTTGGCTAAGGATGCACAATTCCTATTACAGCTGATTACTAGCCATTAAGTTGTGCAATCATGTGGACTGCTGCTTAAAATAACCATCTTCAGCGCTACATCCTATGCATGTATTATTTCAAGACAATGTACATTGCAAGTATTGCATACGCATTCTAATTGCTAATTTCTCATTTCTGCTGATTTATTTCCTTGAAATAAGGGCTGTTGTCCTCTGTCATAATTTACCATTTTTATCATAATATGCGCTTATCTTAAATGGAAGATGTTTGCATATTTACACTAATTTGGTTTGAACTCAGCTAGGCGACTCTCTTGTATTATCAAATGATGACACAAAGTTTTGTTTCCTTGGCTCCATCTATTGGTAAGCAGTCCTTTTATCCATATTTGCACTGGGATTATAGGATATGAGGGAGAAGTCCGGTCTTGTCCTGAAGTGTTACACGTCCCTCCTATCCCCCCCTTTTTGGGGGGGGTAATTTATGGTCTAATTTCTCTTTCATTGTTCTGAGCTAACCCTCAAGGTAGCAGTTTAAATATAATATTCTCAGACAGATGATCATTTTACATTTCCCAAATTTTGGTTCATGTCCAATCTGTGAAATTAGTAAACGGCTTTGTTGATTTAAATCAACTAAATAGAATACAAATACACAAATGTCATACCACCATCCAGGACCCCACACCAATACCTGCCTGCAGAGCTCAGAATTGAGCTAGCCCAGAGACTGAAACATCCTTAAAGGGGCATGATCAGGTTTGAATTTCTTTTAAAAACTATCTAATTAAAAATAATTCAATGCCTGAAAAAACAGTCTTTAAAAACAAAGTCTGTTGATACTATTTAAAGTGTTTTATTTAGGGTTTCCTGCTCTCTGGGTATTAATTTGAAGAGTTTTTGGGGAAGGCCAATAGCTGAAGTGACTAGGGCTGGCCAAGGAATGGTTTTCCCATCCTGCAAGAATTTTTGAGATTAAATAAAAAATTTTAAAATTAAAAAAACAAAAACAAAAAACTTTCCCATCCTCAACTGGAACAAAGTTGAAATCTCAAGTTTTCATAAACCAACAAACCAAAAAAAAATAATAATTCAATTTGGGTCAATCAAAATGTTTTATTTAACTAATTATAAAACACTGTTTCAATTTCAACTTTTCTTTTTAAAAATTATTTTAGTATAAATTAAGTAAAATTTCAAAACAAGGAATCATTCTGAACTGAAAAACCAAAACTTTTCACTTGGAAAATGTCAAAACGGGATGTTTGGACTATTTTGAAATTTGTTGAAACTGACCGTTCCCCACAAACAGTTCAGGTTTTGATCGAGTGGTGTTTTTCAGTGCAAAAAAATTTTGAAAAATTCTTAAGCAACTAAGAATGACTAATGTGCCCCCAGGTTTACCCCTCATTCTCCCTCCCTGTACAAGTGCTAACTCCCAATTTCACTTCCCTCTCATGGTGTTTGAGTGAGTCAGTAGCACAACATTCAAAAACCTCTCCTCCTCCTCCATCTGTAGAGCTGTGGGGGGGAACCTTTTGTAGTGATAATCAAGGTGGGCCATTTCCAGCAGTTGACAAGAACATCTGAGGAACGGTGTGGGGGTGGGGGTGGGGAATAAACATGGGGAAATAGTTTCAATTTGTGTAATGACCCATCCACTCCCAGTCTCTATTCAAGCCTAAGTTAATTGTATCCAGTTTGCAAATTAATTCCAATTCAGCAGTCTCTCGTTGGAGTCTGTTTTTGAAGTTTTTTTGTTGAAGAATTGCAACTTTTAGGTCTGTAATCGAGTGACCAAAGAGATTGAACTATTTCCCCATGTTTATTTCCCACCCCCACCGCTCCTCAGACATTCTTGTCAACTGCTGGAAATGGCCCACCTTGATTATCACTACAAAAGGTTTCCGCCCTCTGCCGCCCCTTCCCCCGCCGCTCTCCTGCTGATAATAGCTCATTTTAAGTGATCACTCTCCGTTCAGTGTGTATGGTAACACCCATTGTTTCATGTTCTCTGTGTATATAAATCTCCCCACTGTATTTTCCACTGAATGCATCCGATGAAGTGAGCTGTAGCTCACGAAAGCTTATGCTCAAATAAATTTGTTAGTCTCTAAAGTGCCACAAGTCCTCCTTTTCTTTTTGCGAACTCCATTACTGATGCAGGGAATAAAGACATGGATGAAATCCCAGTTCTACTAAAGTCAATGGCAATATTATTGATTTCAGAACTTCACCCAATGCATTCAGATGTGCCAATAGTAGTATAAAATCTTTCAAAACTTCTAAAGGGCTTTTCCTTTTACTGCCCATGCAAGACTAACCTCTACAGGATGTCACAAAGGAAAAAAGAGAGCTGGTTCTTAACAATTGACTATATGAACCTAACATGAAGCCTGCCCTAACAAAAATAATTTTCTTCTTTTCTGTTTAAAAGTCGATGCGGCAAAATATGAATCTTCAAAAATAAATGGATTCAGGATATTTTTCCTCTCATGCCTACAATTTATTTGGCAACTTCCCCAAAAACTGAGGCTGATTTAACTTTTGCTGAGATCCCAAGTGATGCCAGCAGCCCTAGAAGAGGGGAGAAAAAATGCACCTTTGCCTCACCCCCCAGTTTTTGCAGCAAGTGGAGCTCAACTGCACCAAAAAATTGGACTCTGTCTCCTTCAAGCTCTATATCCAAGAGAAACTGTGCTGGTAAGTGAAGTCTTATCCATCTGGAAGTTCCCCTGTTAGGTATTTGCTGAACACAACTAACGAATCATTGCCATATAAAAACACCAATACAGATTTCTGGCTTTGTGGATGAAGTCCATTAGATAACAGTAGCTTCCAAGGAAGCTGATTCTAACATAGTTGCAGTTGGGAACTGAGAACAAAAGGTCCTGGTACATCTAACCTCACCAGCACTTGAACAAAGGGTATAAATGGCAATTATGTTTACAAATATTTATTTGCTGTACCACATGCCAGTTCTTTGTTTTTATATATGAAAAGTCAACCTTTGAGAAATGGAAGTTCTTTGTTCCAATAGCTTAACATGTGGCTTTCTTGCTCATGAAACTGTTGCAAATATCTCACTCATACTAGAAGTCCCAAGTAAACGTATTTTGTTTCTTCTCCAATAAATTACCTGGAGTGGTCATGCCTCCTTAAAACAGACTGTGCATTACAAACAATACTGTGTACTTCAAAATCACACAACTGTAGGGAAGAAATTTTTGCTCAATTAATGGGACATCAACTATGTTAGGACCACCAAAGTGCAGATTAGTTCTGCAAAGTGGATTCAGTAGTATACTGGACCGGTGATATCATGCAGGAGAGCACATCAGACAGATCACTTAGAAGATGAAGTCAACAGAAACCACACCAATACAGAAACTCGTGTCTTATTAGCCTACAGTGTCAAAAGAGCATCATTCTCATACAATACCTCTCTTTCTTTTGCAACTCCAAAGCACTCGCTGATTTCCTTGAGGGCCTGACACTTTGTAGAGGCGGTGGTTTAGTGATAGGGGTGATGAGAAGGGCATCCAAGAGCGAACGGTAGACATTAGGATCGGAGAGTCTAGCAAGCATTTAGAAAGACCTGGTAAATACACTAGCTATCCACATAAACTTGAAAACTGACAGGAACTACTAAAATAACATGTGAGAGCTGAGCTTCCCAACAGTTTCCATAAGAGTGTGACAAGAATTATAACTGGAAAGTGATCACTCCTTGCCTTGAGAAACCGCTTCAGTATCTGCAAAATCATTTAATAATGGAAAACATAATAACTGTTTAGATAGCCATAAAATGTAGCAGTATAGCCTATGACATCTAAGGATCTAAAATCTGTTAAAAAAATATCAATTAATCCTTAACCACCATGCAAGGCAAGGTGGTATTAATTTATCCAGATAGAAAATGGGCATCACGAGACCCAGAAAAGTTTAAGTTATTGCCCCAGACTCAGCCAGTAGCAGAGCTGGGAGTAAAACACAGGAGCCTTGGCTCTATTCTAACCCCATACGCGTACTGCGAACGTGGAAGTTAACGCTTCTGACTTTACATCTCTCCCAGTTAACTCCTCTATGAGCACGAGCTTTTTGAAACGGATTGACAACATTTTTTCCCGTTTTACAGCTGATTTCTACCTGGCCCGTACAGCGACGGCAGCAGACACGGCAGCCGCAGCGCTGCTCATAACTTTTGAGCTCTGCCGGGCAGGAGAAGGAACAGGGATGGGAGAAAACTTTGGCAGATCTTCCAATGGATTTTCAGGCAGTGCTTTTCTAGTGTTGAAGCTGTCATCGAAAAAGGGAGGAAACAGAGAGAAAGGAAAGAGATCTCAACCAAGAAACAGCAGAAGCAACTTGAAGTAATCACTGAAAACTGTGCCATCATTAAGGTGCCACTTCTACAAAAGTTGGTGGAAAGACTTCTCTGTTGACTTCATTGGGCCCTTAAACCCAATATGGAAAAACTGATTTTTCTCATGAACAAGACTCTTAAGTGATCAGTTCAGCTTTCAGTAAAAAAAAATCTAACTCAGTACAACAATTCACCACCTTGGGCCCTTATCCTACAACTAACTCAGTGTGGGCGAAGGGATCCACTCACACAGAGCTTGTTGTAGGATCAGGGTCTTGGATTCTCTGTCTAGTTCTTCATGAGAGCATCAAAATGAATTTGAAAGTTATTCTGCTGATCTCCTGAAAATCAGAATCAGCATAATATTACACCAAAAATAGCATTAAAAAAAGAGACATTAAGGTACAAACAAGTAACGAGAGCACATCACAAAAACTGACTTTTCCAAAAAAACTGAATATTTTCAGGTTTTCCTTCTATTTGCCTCCCTCCGTACCTTTTTCTCCACTTTTTCTCCCCCTCTCCCCGCCACCGCTACAATCACTGTCCCCTGGAGGGAGGAGAATAAAAAGAAAAGGGGGAGAGACAAAGAAAAACAAAACCCAAAGATAAATATATTGAAAAATATTTTGAAAAAAATAAAAATGTTAAAAGGTCTATTTAGAACCCTGGAAAACTACAACTTCAAAACTTTCCACACACTTGTTTTTCCATTTTTCAGTCTGCTTCAGAAATCAGGAAACCAAACACTTGAATGACAACCGCATTTTGCGCTGCAGCTTTGATTTAAATCGAGATATTGTCATGCGTTCACCTAACAGTCTGCTGAGTGCCCACCATAAGTCTGACCTCATGTGACTTAAAGATGATCTAGACCGAGAGCTTGAGATTTTAACAAAAGGACTTGTTTCAAAAAAAGCCACAAACGTATCATGCCTGCCCAAAAAAGTATCGAGAGGCAAAAGAATATTATACACACATCTAGCATATTTTAGGGAACAATAGCAAGGATCACGAAATCCAAACGAATCTGAGAAAATAAAACACTTGCCTTCCAGAAAACAAAGTCTAGTATAGGGTTACTGATCCTGACTAATAGCAGTAAGCCTTACAAAGTTGCCTTGTTGCAAATTTGTCTATTTGACAATTGAACTGAACCACTGCTATTTAAAAAAAAAAAAAAAAAAAAAAAAAATCAACTTCCTCCAATTTTCCCCTTCACTTCATTTTTCAGGAGAAAAGCATTTCACCACTAGGTCAACATATCATTTTCGTAAGGACTGATTCCTTTACGGCACTTCACCACACAATCCAAAACAGCATTTTGCTGTATTTTGCTCCAGTAACTCCAAGTTAGTGGATAATATGGCAATGCACATTTTATAGCATCACGCCCTAAAATGGAGATGAAACCACATTATTTCATATTATTTTCATTCCAATTTTAACATGGCCAAGATTTGTGTACCTGACAGGAACAGGAAGCACCGAAGGAATGGATTCCACATCTTGGACTGTACAAGGTGGCTCCATTGATGCAATTGTGAGCAAGGGTGGCTCAGAGGTCTGTGTAGCTACTGTGTGCTTATCAGATAGAGAACTTTCTGCACCAGTTTCATTTGTCATTAAGCTTGCTGGACCTGGAGCACTCAACTCTGCAGATTGAGTTATTTTCCTATTTGACATTAATTTAACAAGAAGTAGTTATTATGAGACCAGATATACAGAAGCATTGCAACTGGAATTCTTTATTTAATAAAAAATAAACAATAGTTGCTATCTATTTCTAACAGGGGTTTTTATCTGTGACAAGATGCTACTGGTAAAAGGCAGCACAGCACAGGGACTCTTCTACTGTATTATCTTCTAGATGAACAAAAAATGCAGCAAGAAAAATAGGACCAGCCACAAACTGCTTCTTCATGACAGTAGCTTTTTTCAAGGTTTAACTTTGACAGCTTACAAACAGCCTCATTTAACGATAAAAGCAAAGTATGTAAGAATTTTTTTTTAAAATCATGATTCCAGCAATTTCTGATATACTTGAAACAGAACATGTGACACAAGGAACACTACCTAGTGTAAGTAGATGCCACTTTAGACACTGTGGCTACTTGGCTACTGACACTTAAAACCTGAACAACAGCAGGTGGATGAGGTGCACACTTAGGTAAGGCTTCCAAAGGATTGTCAAACAAGAGTTTTCTGAGGCAAAAGAAAGCAGAGATGTAAGTAGCACACTAAGCAGAGAAAATAAATATAAAAAAATCCCCACAGTATCACAGTGTATAGCCTCTAAGGAAAATAATTACTTTGGTTACATACTAAAGGAACTATGGTAAGCTAACAGTAAAATATACACACGTCTGCTAGTGTTTTGTTTGGATTAAATCATTGGCAATCAGAAGCCTCCCACAACCCTCCACCCCATTTACACACACCGTCCCATTTACATGAAGTTGTGTAAATTTAGAAATTTTGATCAAATTTCAGATTTTGGCGGGAGGGTGGGCACTTCATCCACCTTTCCCCTCATTTTTTCAAACCAACCCAGGAGATGGCTGAACTAAAAATACAGAAAAATGATACTTGTGCAGTCTACCTCCACCCCACTTTTTTTTTTTTTTTGGGGACCAGCCCCAATGACAACCACAGGGATTTTGCCCTTTCCAATTATTTTCTGGGGCTGTCCTTGAATTCAGTTCCTACAGTCCCATTGATTTCACTGGGTTCTATATGAGACCCAAAATGCAGAGAAATAGTTTGACATCACAGGAGCTTGCTCTCCTTTGGGGAATTTTTCAATCATGTTTGGATTTACACCCTCATTTCTGGTAGAACAGTTACTTTATATTCTTTTTTCTTTGTTGATGGCTAGGAAAGGGAATTACTTTAACACTAGCTGAAGCTCCCAATAAAAACCTGAAGATTACACTTATTTCAGAATATACTGTTGGCTGCCTTTTAATCAGCAAGAGCACTTCAAGATTTGACTATTCATATTTAATGCCATATATTAAAGGAGAATATGCAAATTTGTGATGTAGTATTTCTTTTTCCATCTGAAAAGTAAAGACCAACATTCCAAATTAACCACTTTGCACACATATTACTTTGGGGTTATGTATTTTCCCTCATTTTAATGGGAACAGTCACACTGACAACACACCTGCCTCAAAAGGTTTTTTTTTTTTTTTTTAAAAGCAACCCCAGAAACACATTTGTGACACTATTAAGACATGGTAACTTTTCACAGATGTAACTGAACAACCTAAGGACTCTTGTTGCCACTGACCTGCTTCATATTATGTCTGTCTATTTCCAGATATCTGGGACACCTATTCTTTTCTGCAGGCTAAAGTTGCCTGGGAAACTATTGAATGAGTGATCCTTGAAGGAGTGAATGGATAAATCCATAAAAGTAATTTCTAAATTAGTTATAAACACTTCAACATTAGGAAGCATAAGGAATGCCCACATTTTAATACAATAATTTTATATGGGGAAATAATCAACAGACCAAATAAGATACAGCAGTTTGGTATATTGCCTCAAGACTAATTTGCACTTTAATTACAGGAATGAAACGACAATTACAAACATTATACTTTACATTGTGAAATCTGCCATACAGGCAGTAAGGCTGGCTTTCATTCAGTAACAAGTTCCAGCTTCTTCATAAACTGTAACGGCAATCAAACTCTCCCCTCTTCTTGGGTTCAGAAGTGGATGACACAAGTGACTGATTTTAGCCAAGGAAAGAGCTACACCACTAGGAAAATGAGGATCTACGCTAGCTCAGTGACAATAAATGCAGGACCTAAGCAATGAAATTAAGTCTACTGACCCTTGGATAGCCTCTTTCTGCATCGCTACATATATGATGGCTTACATAGCAATTACTCATTAATTTCAAATGGTCATGATTTTGAAAATAGGCTTTTTTTGGAGATCCATTTAAGATGTATCCTACTTAAAGAGCGTTTGAGACAACAGCCATTCACCGCTTAATGAAAACAATAAGCTTGGTTCATAGAACACCAGAAGTAGCCATTTTTTTTCAAATGTCTTTACTACTACAAACTACAACATACACCCAGGTACTCATCCATGTCCACCATTTCAGATGTTATCTATCCTGGAATTTCTTCCAGATCAACCTAGTGCAGTAATGATTAGGTGGGGATGGATATTAGTTTCCCCTTATTTAAGTACGCACTTATTAAATGCGGTATTTCAAATAAGTTACAAGAGAGAATGCTAAAAACTTAACAAGAGGGAAGGACAGTTTTATCTACACTCTTCTAAGATGAAGCCATCTTAGTATGTGCCAGAAATGAACATGAAAGCTAGCTCTAAACTCATCTTGTTGCACATCTGGAGATGGTCCAACCTATGAAAACAGTGTTGATGGGCCTTTTAGACGCTAACAATTCTTTCACTACTTTGTCTTAACCTTTCAAAATAAAAACATCCATTTCAAAGGGTACTTAGTTACACTACAATTTTAAAACTTGTGGATGTGTCAGTAACCACAAATAAAGGTAAAAGCGAAGTTTATTTATTTTGATCTTTAGAAGTGCTAAAAGGGCACCCTGTCCTATGCACTAAATGCTTGTGATAAATTAAAAATAAAAGTGCAGCTACTGAATTACCACACTGCCAATCCCTCTCCCCCTTGAACAAATCTCTCTGTCCACACTCATTTTTAAAGTGTCTGCGGCAAAAAGATGAGCCTTGCAAAGCCCAATAGAGAATGAATATTGCCATTCTCAAGTTCAACGAAAGTATCATCCTATAAAATGCAATCCACCTAGTCCGAGGAAGGGTCTCTCTTCCCAAAGGCCAGCAGAGGGATTTTAGCCTCCAAGATACATTCAACCTCAGGAGGCTGCTGTTTAATGTATAGCTGTGATGTGGAAGTCAATTTTGTTTCCCTGAGACCTAGATGGGTGGGTCTTTGCATCCCCACATGGAGTATGTATATTGAAGGAATGCAGCTCTGCTTTCTGCAATTCATCTTGAATACATGATATGTCATGTGCCAGGGAAGGGCTCATTTTAATTAGTAGGCAATTAGTAGGCAAGACTGCAAATGTAGTAAATTTAAGCATGTTGGTAGCACATAAGAAGGGACTCAAGTTTTCTTTTGCTGAACACTGATCCATGGCTAGTACTTTGAAATAGTTCATTCTGATTGAAATACAATATTTGCAATAGTAATCTGATGAATAGATCTCAAGATACTATTAATTCATAGATATTTAGGTCAGAAGGGACCATTATGATGATCTAGTCTGACCTCCTACACAACGCAGACCACAGAATTTCACCCACCACTCCTGCGCAAAACCTCTCACCTATGTCTCAGCTATTGAAGTCCTCAAATCATGGTTTAAAGACTTCAAGGAGCAGAGAATCCTCCAGCAAGTGACCCGTGCCCCATGCTGCAGAGGAAGGCGAAAAACCTCCAGGGCCTCTTCCAATCTGCCCTGGAGGAAAATTCCTTCCCAACCCCAAATATGGCGATCAGCTAAACCCTGAGCATATGGGCAAGATTCTCCAGCCAGACACTACAGAAAATTCTTTCCTGGAACTCAGATCCCACCCCATCTAATATCCCAATATCTAATTCAGTGGTGGGTAAGACAATTTCTTAAAATAATTTCATTATTTTTGCTGCTTTATTTCTTGTTTGGTATAAAAGTCTCAACAGTGTCACAAAATGTACGGTTCATGTTTTTATCACGTGACTCCCTCTCTCACACCACTCTGATAGACCATTTGAGTCCTATGCTGCTGCAGCTGTTCTAACCAGCTCCCACTTCCACAGTGAAGAGGAACCTCAGTGGTCCAACTAAACGGAGATTACCACTCAGTGACTGAGTCCCCATGTCTGTGCCCTAAGGGGAACCCTGTCACCATCTGCTCATACCAGCACCGAAAGAGCAACTTCCTTATGTGGTCCCTGTGGGTCACTATGGTTTACAGACAGCCTATAAAATATCAAGAAAAGGGAGTTTATTTGATTGGTGGGCTGATACTCTAGTCTTATCTCCTTAAACTTGGCTGGTACATGTGGACAGAGGGGAAATGGGCTAAAACTCAACTCTTTGTATTGGCTTCTCGGTAGGAGGAAACTTCTATAGGTGTGGGTTGAGGCAATACTATCTTTGTCTGTTATTCAGAATGGTTCTTGGCTTAAAGGTGAAATTAGATCAATTGTTGTTCCTGGATTCTCGGACAGCTGCTAGGGATGCTATCATCTACAGCAGGAGACTTGGAAGCTGCAAACCTGCTCTGATACTGACCTCAAAAGAGTAACACCCGTAGCTTTTCCAAGTAAAAAAATCATTGTAATGGACTCTACACAGCATTATACTTGAAGTCCAGCCGGAAGCTTCATTTGGTGCAGAAAGTAGCTGAGTGGGGTGTGCTCGCAGAAACACAGATCTATGTTCAAAACTCTGTCGTGGTTTCCTCATCACTTCTAGGTCCAATTCATAGTGTCAGTAATTATCTCTAAAGCCCTGATTGACTGTGGTAACTCATTTTTGAGAGTCTGCTTTGCAATGGGTAGAAATTGGCTGGGTTACATGTGTTGTCAGCTCCTCGGGTAAGACTAGTGCCAGGCTCAGGGTTCTCATTTGAAGGAGTCCAACCTTTGGAATTCACTTCCTCTTAGCCATTTGCTAGAGTCTGAGGTGGTAAATGTCAGGGAGTGAAACAAAGCCTGTTGTTATTAACATTTAACAACTGGCATGTTTTTCTGTTTATTTCCTTTATTTTTGATAAATTTGTATTGAAGCTATGTCCACTATGAAGGCATAAAGATATGTATGGGATAATAGTGGAAGCTTAAGATTGATCATTTAGGAGAGGCTTATGTAATTTATGCATTTAAAAAAACCAAAATATTTAAATGTGCTGGCACTAGGTAAATAAATAATATAAATACCAGGCAGCAGCATCTTCCCTTCAAGAGTCTTGAGTCACAACAGAGAACACATAGAACCTATTTCTTTAAACCATGGCTGCCACAAAAAACATAAAAACCACAAAAATGCTGCTCACATAGAATGTTTGACAATGGTCGTTCTATACTTGGATCCAGGTATTAATACAGAATGGTACACGGTATTTATTTCAAAATAAAAATAGTGCTTATATAGTGCTTTGTGTCAGTTAAGTTTCAGAGCTTCACTATCTTTTAAATATCGTCATAGCACCCCCGTGAGACAGACAGGTGCAATGACCCCCATTTTAACAGATGAGGAACAGAGGCACCGTGGGTATGTTTACGCTGCATTTAAATACCTATTGCTGGCCTGAGTCAGCTGGCTCAGGTGGGGCTTTAAAAATGGCTGTGTGGACATTTGGGCTTGGGCTGAAGCCTGGGTTCTGGGACCCGACAGGTCTACACAGCCACTTTTAGCCCCGCAAACCCAAGTCAGCTGACCTGGGCCAGCCATGGCTATGCCATGGGCTTTTTATTCAAGTGTAAATGTACCCAGAGAGACTAAGTAACTCACCCAAGGTCACAGAGGAAGTCTGTGGCAGAACAGGAAATTGACCCTCCGTCTCCCAACTCCTACGCTAGTGTCCTAGCCACTGGATATTCCTTCCTCTCCAAAAGAAGGAAAAGGGTAACAAAACAGATCAAAGTACACATCTTAATCATACAGCACCTACAACGTCTGCTTCCACCATTAGGACACTGGCCAGCTACTAGTGAGTGATCTAACTGCAGCCTATACACTTGGGGGAAGGCTAATAATTTCCATTCATGTCAGAAAAGTGGTCATGCCAAAGAGGGTGTGGAGGAATCTCAGGATGTTTGCACTCAGTATCCTTCATATTTTAACGCAGAGCCAATATTATGGCAAGAACACAGCAGAATTAAAAAAAACCTGAGCATAATTCCCACAACAATGACCATAATGTACTCTTTCACTCAAGAACACAAAAGCACTTAATGAACCAATAAGTCCCATGCATAGGTGTTACACCTATTTTACATGTGGCTAACCTGAAGCAGATAACTTAAGTGACTTGCCCAGGTTACGCAATGAACAAACAACAAAACCACCGATTTCAGTAAAACATTTTACTACAACATCATGGTGCATATGGTACAGGAACAGCAGTTAAATGGACATATTAGAAACAGAAGCACAAGTAATAAAAAACATGTTTTATGGCTGCTAACCCTTGTAAAAAGATTGTGAAAAGGATGGAATCAGCAAGTCAGTTAATGGAGTGTTGCCGGGGAGGGGGGACGGGGGGGGAGGGTGTTTGTTTTTTTGTTTTTTTAAACTAAGGGAGGTGAAATCTGCTGTGTTATTGAGATACCAACAGATTCCATGAGATGAGCTTCCTAAGACAGAAGTTATTACAATTCAAAAGTAAGTCTTATAAGAGTCATCCAAAAATATTTCATATTAGTTTGTTTTAGAGGTAAACATAACCATCAACTCCCAGGCACATTGTAACAACCAGCCAACCGACAAAAGCCACATCTTTCAAAATAACAAAGCTGAAGAACAGAGACCACATTCCCTGTTGAAATCTAAAGCTCAAAGGCCTGTATGAGGTCATACTTGATGACTTAAAGTTTAGGCTTCGGAAGAAGACCATGAGAATAATCAGGCTCCAAAAGCAAGAGCCTGCCATAATTAATTCCCTACCACTTACAACAGAGTAATCCAAATTGTATAGAGGCTATGGGTCAAGAGTAGTTATACTTAAGGCTATGTGAACTGTGGAATTGTCCAAGAAAAGGGTCCATTTTTATCCTTTTGATTATCTTTTGCATCAATCTGTCCATACCATACAGATAACAAAAATAATTCAATTGAATAAATTTAGGATAATGTACAAAAAATGATAGGCCTTGTTTGGTGTTTGTTTTCTCTTCCAGATAACTGGTGTTTATTAGACACAGAGCCACACACCCACACTATTAGCTTATGAAATTCAATACATCAGTGTAACTTATATAACTTATCTTTAAGGAACAACATTTTTCAAAATTTTATTTTCTCTTTCTAAACCCAAAGATGACCTCCAAAGAGAGCCTACAGTCTGCCAAGAAAACATGGTCTAAATAATGCCAATTAAGGTATCCAAGGTCAGTGACTGGAAGTTTGCCATCTCTCATTTCATCCCACATAGCAGAACATGCCTTAAAGAGCACACCATATTTTTTCAATATATTTAATATAGTTTTGCCTCAGTGGGAAATACATTTGAATTAACTCTCAACTTATACATTAACACTTAATTGTTATCAATTATAGCAGGTCATGGGAAGGGTCACTCACTGACAAAGTAGATCTTTCTGAATTGTTTTACTACATAGTATGTTATTTCTTATTCCAGCTAGTACCGGTGAAGTGTTCATGGGCCTGATCGATTTTTTTCTGCTCTTCTTTCCCCTCCTCCTACCATGCTCAGAAAACTGGTGATGTCCAATTTAAATGAGTGACAGAGAAACATGGCTAGTATAGATTTTCCTGTTCTAATTAGGAAGAGTACCACCGGAGAATCATTTACCTCCCATGGGGTGAACTTGAGACATGATCAGGAAGTCTGGGAGAGGGAACACTGACAGGTGAAGACTTGGCTAACGGCAAACTGTCTGACGTAGATTCTGGTCTGATGAACAGTTTGCATGTCATTCAAGGTAACAAAATCAAAATCAACACAAAAAAAGATGTTTAATCTACATTTAAGTGGCATAATAAAGATATGTTAAAACGTGAACAAAAATATCAATAGCTTGAATGGGAATCAGGGTTAAAGTGAAAGTCAGAGCTGAGATGAGGCACAATTTTTGTGTGACTTTTCTTGACTTTGGTGAAGACAGAAACGTGTACTGTTGCTTGTAAAATCAGCAGATGGCCCATTATTATATTTACAGAGATGAGACATACACATTTAATACCACTCTGCATAGCCTGATGGGGGAAAAAAAAAACTTACAGTAAATACTAAAAATGAGAGTCTCAGAAGTTCTAATTTGGGCTTCATATAAGTGTTTTATACCCTTTCATTGTGATTTCTTCATTCTAGAAAACTAGAAGAAGTCGTTTGCTTTATGCCACCACTCTGCCATTTACTTTGGGTGCTACAGGAATTGAGCAGCGTGGGGTTGGACCTTGAAGTATAATTTTTAACATTTTCTCCATATTATGCCTCCTGCCCAGACATGACTGAAGTAACTGCAAATGTGACATTTAATGCAACACAGGTCTTTTGTCTGAAGAGAAATGCACATGACATTTCTAACTGCAATGTCATTTTGTGACAAACAGTCAAGTAGGAGTTACAAGGTGAGCGTGTTAACATACAACACATTTGTCTTCCACAAACTTTGAGCAAGTAAAGCTACCTACGTGAGAATGTACTCTATTTTTAGTATCATGCAGATTTAAATATCTTAACAAGTTTCCAGTCTTAAGTGATATCAGTGTATTTCACTGACTTAGCACTGACAGAGAAGCAGACCTCATAGCTGGTAATGGTGTTGACGGAGGTTCTGATGCAGGCGTCATCTCAATGGTCTGAGTAGCTACTGAATGTTTTAGATCTAAAGAGGAATTCTGGGCTTCTATTCCATTTGGTAGATCTACAGACACGCTTTACAGATAATGATAAAAAAAATCACATGGATGGTGTTGGAATACATACATGAAAATTTAGAATTGACCAAAAGTGGGATCACTATTTCACTATGGATAGAGAGATTTGCTAATCTAAAAATCCAGAAAATCTCTACACAAACCTGCTCAATATTAATCACAAATCTAACAGTGACCAACTCAAAATATTTCATGGATTTGGGAGTAGCATGATAATAAAGATCTATTTTAAGTTTAAATTTCAAGCAAATTGACCAAAAAACCAGTAGTACAAGGAGTGATTGATGATCTGAATATATTACATTTACAAAAACAACAGTGAAAAACATTCACTCAGTATTTCATTTGTGTCCAAAATTATGTTCCTCAGCATCAAGACATCCAGAATATACTTGAAAATGGGAAAATTACTTTATTACCAAATGACAAGTTGTAACCCAACAAAATCATTGAATGCTTCCATGGAAATATTTAAGTGTTATTTGTGTATTCTACTTTAGGTACACCTTTCCATGATCACTGTTACTCTCTCCAAAAGAAAAGGCATTTTTATCTACCTAGCTACATACAGGGATGGATGAAAATCAAAATATTTGGAAGTTGGCTTTCGAGAAAGTTTAAAAAGCTTGGACATTTATCTGAAGTTTATTCACAGCTCTTGAAATTCTTCACCCTTCTTTGATTACATCCCCTTTGCCCAGGCTTGTTAAGTTTGGCCTACCTCCACAATAGTTGCAGTCAGTTCTTATATTAAAGAAAAAAAAAATCAGGACACTAAGTATTTTCCCTTATCACAGGAACAAAACGCATTCTGAGGCCTGATTTGAATCAAGCAGTGAGCTAAATCCAGATCATCATAGGGACCTCCGACTGGAAACTCATCTGTCTTTTTGAAGGTTAAATGTACACTTGGAATCAAAGTGGGCATTAAGGTTCATTATTCACATTTTAAAATAAAAGCAGTCTAATCTTTCTCCCAACAGTTTTTACTGATTTCAATTTTTTTTAAATTAAGAAATGATGAAAGTATGACATTTTAAGTGTGACCGGAGGGAAGAGACATTTGGGCATGGAACATGCATCATGCCAGTCAAGTCTGTGAGCAAAATATCTTCAGATACATTTGATGAGAGAATGACCTCAGAGGTCGGGCCCGTTGGTTTGTCGGAGAAGGTGTTGTTACTTTAAAGACTAGAAAGCCAGAGAGTTACTTGCTGCATGGAGGCAGCTCCATACCCATACAGCATGGGGATGCTGACCCATTCTCACCCGACCCCTCAGGTGACTTGAAGAGAAGCAGACTATTTATGTCCACACCTGTACAGTGGCGGCCCCTTTTCCACCTGGACAAGGCTGAACACTCCACCTGTTGAAATTGGGGTGGGGGTGGCTGGTGAGGAATTTTCCCCCTCACCTCCAGATTGGCCAATGTGAAGTAGCTTTTTTCACCTTTCCCAAGGCAAACTGGAGGCTTGCAGGGGGTGGGGGGGGGGAAGAGAAGAAATAAAGGGGGTTAGACTATGGTGTTGCAACTCATTATATAAGCGTGGGGCGGATTCCCAGTGAAGGTACTGCATAGGGAACAGATATGGTGATCACGTAAAATGGATTGGGAAAGGATTTAATGAGGTATTCTTTATAGGAGTGGAAACAGGGGTGGTTAGGGGCTCCTATGACTGTTAAGGCAGGGAGTCAAGTCCCCCCCACCCCCCGCCCTTAAGCTTAATCTGAGATGGGATGTGTGTGGCGAGGCCACAGCAGCAGGGTGGCTGCCAGCAAACCTCTGGGTATATGCAAAGGACTATGGAACTACTGGTTTCAGAGCAGCAGCCGTGTTAGTCTGTATCCATAAAAAGAAAATAATGCTCTAATAAATTGGTTAGTCTCTAAGGTGCCACAAGTACTCCTTTTCTTTTTATGCAACTACCTGCGCTATACAGTTTTACCGACTAGGCATTCCCAGACATTTAGTAATAAAGTTGCGGCCTATCTAGTGTCTCCTTTCCTTTTTCTGGTATAGCCGCACAATGAGGGTAAAGAGAAGAGTAAATACACTGAAAACATTGCTACAGAGCATTTAAATGAGTAGACTGTGGACTTTTGCTACTCAAGATCAATGGAGATCAAACTGATCACAGGGACAGTACACAGGCTGACTAACCTGTTCACCCACTGAGAAATTAAGATGCTTACTTTAAATTAAGATGAGCTCTCCTGGCTCCCTTGTTCCTATTGTTGACTAACTATGGAAACGCTTTTGAACAGAGGATAGTGGGAGAATGTGGAAAATAGGAGTGAGAGACTTTGCTGGCTAGTGAAGGTGGAACAGACTAAATGGAGGCAGGAAGGAAAACAACAGATGGTTTTAAGAAAAACATTAGAAGTCTTTTAAAGAGATTGATAGGTAGTTTGCATAGTTGTAATTCTAATTTAGAAAGTCTGAAAAAGTTAGGAGATGAAATACACCATTCAACCCTTTAAATTTTCTAAGCTAACAAAGGTAAAAATCAGTACTTTTAATTTTTTGTTCCAGAAATTAAAACTATTAATATAAGAACAGCCACCAGAGGGTCATACCATATGGTTCTAATTTTGAAAAAATATGCAGGATTTTTGCTGATCTAGAAATTTGTTTCACAGCCCTGAATACATTTTTGCTAAAGTAACTTGCTTTAATGAAGTGTCATCCAAATATTTATACAGTGGCATGCCATAACATATTTCCAGGTGGCCAGTGATTTGTAAATCTAGTTTTTCTGGGAAATTTTTATGCTTTGGGGAACTCTTCTTGAATCTGAATATACTTATCACTGGACACACCACAAGGATATTTTTAAGACTTGTGGGCTTTGTATATTTATTTTCACTCATGCTAAACAAATCTATGTTTTAGATGATTGCAAAATCATTTTTTCCATTTCTTATTGAAACAACTCCTTCTATTAAGAGCTAAATGCTAGCAAGATAGATAAAATGGCAAATAAAATATCAACAGGAAAATATTCTCATTTTATATGAATGTTTCAAAAAAATACATACTTTGAAGATATTGTTTGACTTTACTCCTAAAGAATGCATTACAAAAGGGGCCATAAGAAGTCATCTTATCACACTTATTTTTTACTGTGTTGCGTACAATCTGTAATAACATTCCCGCCCTACCATACATAAAAAATGATTTCAACCGGCAAAACAACTTTAATACAATGCTTAAAATTCATATTTCTGAACGTACATGTTCTAGTTCAAATCAATAATCATAGTGTGCTGTATGTGCATTGAATAATGTGCATAGTTTTAGTAAAAATGTGACACACAAACAGGTATTTGAAACAGAAGAGAAATTATAATTTGATAGAACTGCCAAGGCCGTTCATTTCCAATTGACAGATTTTTGTCGTCAGTGAAACTGTGATAGTGAATTATTTTCCCTGAAAGTCATTATGTGGTTTTAATGTAAAACAAACCAAACCATGAGTGGACATAACTGTTTTAATTCTACCATGTGCTGGATGCGAATTCTTCTGCAGTTTTATTGGTAATTTGATTCCTTATATTGTGCACTCTTATGTTTCCACACAAGTGACTGTTAGCATTCAGACAATTTAGCAGTTACCTGGGGTCTCCATTTTCTGTTTGACTCTCCCTAAAGATAAGATGACAAACACAGTGAGCTACAGCCTTGCTGAGCTGCAGGAATGTTTATTATGGTAAAGTAATGCTTTTGAAGAGGAAAAGCAAACTTCAGAATATTAGAATGTTTTTAGGATTTAATCTCTCTGCAATAATTTGTTCAAAGGAAGGGCTCTATTTCTAGAACCCCCAGTTCTCTACTTTTAGAAAACCCTGGTTGATATACTCAAAATTTAAACAAACTGCTATATAACTTATAAGTATGGTACTTCATTTTCCTCCAAGATTAACCTTTTAGGTTTGGACTTTCTGTACTTCAATAGGTGTTAAAAGCTTACAATTAGTTTGTTTAAACGAATGTGTTCTAGGCTCGCATCACACACTTCTACTTGGGACAGCAAAAAAGATCAGTCACTTCATAGCTTGATGCAGGATCCCTTACAAATCTAAAAGATGTAATAGACAATTTTTAAAAGGAGATTTGGGAAAAATCCCATTCATTTATTGTACAAATATTGATGGCTCTTGCACAGCTCGATCTGGTTTTATTGTCTCGTCTCTTATTTCAGTTAGATTATAATACTAGAGATACAGCACTTCTGTCTGAGAGGGTCTATGTACAGAGTCAAAAGGCCTCAAAGAAAAACCAGAAAAAACCAAGTTAAAAGCAGCTTTTATTAAAATACTCTTCAAACTTCAAAAAGTTTAAGTTAACGAGTGTCTCTACTATAATACATTATATTACAGGATAATAAGCGTTACCATCATAGGGTACCGAAGCTTCTATAAAACACAAAAAACCCTAAGAGTTTCACCATACAATAAATAATCATCACTGTCTACGACTTCATCTTATTCTCATTTGATGTTGCATGCTGAAGCTCTTACATGGGCACAGCAACATTTCACTCCTTTTTTGTATAATTTTTCCCATGGTGTGGATGGGACACCTGTTTAACAGGCTCAGTACCTGGACTGCACTAAGATTTGCAATAGCAGCAAAACTCCTTTTGGCGGGGAAGCCATTTGACTTCTCCCTCTACCATTTAAAAACATTTACAACCCACTCTAAAATATTTCTGCTGAACTTCTATTGAATTTAAAGAAAATTATCCTAGAAAGTACAAGAGTTTCAGCGTTTACAGGCAGGCTTCTTTTTTCAAGCAACACTGAATATTGCTCTTTTGCTCATCTTTCTAGCAACCTACAAGAACTCAAACTCAGCAACACAAATGAATCCTCCTTGTCAAGAAAGAACCTCAATAGCCACCTCCTCTACCCACTTGAAGACTCAGTCACCTGAGTCACTTTGTGTTGATTTGTGTATGTTTGTTAACTACTGATCAGCACAAAACCACACTCATCTCATTCTTCACATATCAGTAGGAAACGGTTAGAAAAGAATAGAAAAAGCTAGAGTTTCTCTCATAAGAAAGCTAATAAAATACTTTTGTTTTGTTTTTTGTTTTTTTTTTGCGCAAAGCATTTGGAAAAGAGAAAAGGAAGAAAAGGTTTGTGTTCTGTTTTTGCAACTTGGGTAATTCACTGGACATTAAGGACACGTGCTGAGACGTCATGGTGCCAGTCACGTAATTTTGTATATTTTGGGCTAAAGATCTGGATGGGAATCTTTTCCCTGTGGAAAGAAGTGATAGAAGAAACGTAAGAAAGGAAAGAAATCTGCCTTACAATTCAATTCACAGGAACTGAAAACATGCCATCTCCATGCACTATTTACAGGCCTACATATTTTCTCATCTGTCTTTTAAGGCCTCATCCAATGCCAAATGAAGTCAATACAAAGACCCCCCGCTGAATCAGGTATTGGACTGGGCCTTTAGCACCACTTTGAACAGCACAATTTTGAATAGCATAATTCTTCAAGAGCAACAGAATAGCAGCTATCTGTTCAAATCTTAGAAAAAGTTAATCTGATCTCCTATTACAAGCCAAAAATGCATGGCTAAATTCAAGACAAAACATTACATTCGTCTGTTTACAAGCTACCACCAGACAGAGAACCAACTGTTTACATTCACTGAAAAGTTCCAACTCCTGTATAAACCATATTTTCACAGTCTTGTATTAAGCTCCTAAATAAAAGCCAATCACAGCACACAAAATATTGATTTAACATGCTGATTCATTTATAACACACAATTTTAACACAGAACAACATGTAAAAGTTTCTAGAACGTTACACCAATGCACCAAACTGCAATATTACATCATCAGTTCAAAACAAGCCATGCAAAATATTGAATATTCAAAATACAAACAAATCAACTTACTTAGTTTTCTTTGTAGTCTCAGTTTCTGGTTCTTTCACTGCAATGAAGTAAGAATTTTTATATTTCTAAATGGTTACTTTGAAACAATTGAAATAAGGTTGATCTTCCTCAAAAACAGGGCCAATAAAATCTTTGCATCATACTATCGTGCATTTTGTACATGCCAAAGAAAAACAATTTTATAATTTTTCTAAAAAGGTACTATTTTTTCATTTACCTCAACCTGTAAAACCACAGAGCCAGATTTGTAAAGGTATTCAGGTGTCTAAAGCTGCAGACAGGTGCCTAACGGGATTTCCAAAAGTGCCTAACTCCCATGAGATTTCAATGAAAGGTAAGCACCTACACACTTCCAGAAACCCCTGTCGGTACCTGTCATCATCTTTACGCATCTAAATATCTTTACAAATCTGGCTCTTCGTAACATAAATCCAAACATACAGAAATTACAGGGAAAGAATAACGTTCACTAATCACGTTAGAATGACTTAACTTACAATGGCCCTATTATTCCATGTTATGTTATGATTTTAAGATTTGGTATCTTTTGCTCTTTTAAGGCAGAAGCAAATGCTGTACTGTTCTGCTGGAAGCTCCTGTTTTCAACAGTAAAACAAACCAGTGTGATTTTGAGTGGAAATTTCTCCATTTGGTGGTGGTGGAGGAAGGGCAGGAGGGACATTTTTCTGGCAAGCTGATTTAGGGGGAATATGGTAGTTGTTTTAAAGGGACCCTGTCAGCTTGGAATTTAGTCAGATCAAAAAAAGTTGAAGGCATTACACCTGCCCATAATCCCCTCTCTCTTTTGCTGTGTGGAGGGTTCACACGAAAAACAGGGTAATTGACGACTGATTTGATGATCCAGGGGAAGAAATGTTACAAATTGGATTAGAGAACTTTATTAGTTATTGGTCCAACACCGTACAGCAAGTTCAACCAGGACAGCGTGCAAGTCCATTACCGCTACTTAACCTTATCTAATGCTGCAACACCAAACGATTACTCACTGTGTTCAGTGCCGGTGATTTGGGCAAGGATCCGAAAAGAACGTGATTGGGTAGTTCCTGTCCTTGGGTGCCAATCTTCAGTATCTTCAATCAATCTTTTTTTGCTGGCATCTCTATGAGTGGGTGTGTGGTAAAACTCTGTATAGGTATCCACAATGTGCTTCCTTGGTGGACTATTTCAACAAAGAATAATTGTAAGGGGGGAAAATGTGAAATTTCATCAGGAAATCTTAAATTTTGTCATTGTCACAATGGCATTGAAGACTTCATCATGCACTATCAAGGTTTGTAAGAACAGCTTCTGCATTTGGGTGCTGATCTGCTTTTGTAAACGCTACTGCATACAAAGTGACATGAGCTCAGAGATATAAACACAGATTCAAGTGCAAAACAAATCCATGAATTTAGTAATTTAAGTCAGATTTACTAGGAAACATTTAAAATATTTTCTACAGTCACTATCGTAAGATATCAAACAGCACAACTCAGCATTAATACCATGTTATATACATTTTTAAATATTTACCGTTTAGGTGGGTTTTTCCTTATAATTGAAGGAATCAGACAACAGAAGAAACAGTGTTCCAGTGTGAACAGCAAGGAGAGAGGAAAAGAAAAATAAGTAAAAAAAAGTAAGAAAACTGAAGTGACAGATATGGGTATGTCAAGAGATGAAGTGCAATGAAGCCAACTACTAGTGACGTTTCAGAGGAGCAGCCGTGATAGTCTGTTTCCGCAAAAAGAAAAGGAGTACTTGTGGCACCTTAGAGACTAACCAATTTATTTGAGCATAAGTTTTCGTGAGCTACAGCTTATGCTCAAATAAATTGGTTAGTCTCTAATGCGCCACAAGTCCTCCTTTTCTTTTTACTAGTGACATTGATGTCCTGCTACAAAAAATTGGTTCTGTGCAATGTCCATGATTTCTTGGATTCCATATAGATCGACAGGTAAGAAAAAAGTAGTCAAAATGTGGCCTTTTTTTGGCAATCTCTGAAAAGCAGTATATGTAATGCTGGTGAAGTGTAATGGGTTAAACAGCCCTGGAGAATGAATTCCTCGCTTTGTTCACAGAGATAGAGCACGCTACCTGGTAGGTGTACCTCAGCTCTGCTCTGGAACATTTAGTGCTGCAGCCACAAGGATGAAAAGATAAGAAATGCCATGCCTCCCAACTGAATTTACCAACCAAGGTGCCAATTGTAGTGGTGGCTGTTGAGCTGTGGATTGCGGTCCCATAGGAAGTATATTAAGGGTTTGTCTACACAGCGGAGCATTGCACTCTTTGGGGATAAGATTTATTTTACATACATCAACCAGCAGCCATCTGTTATAGTAATGTCTTGCATTATCAATCAGGGCTGGCTTGGAAGTGGGAATCCTAAAGGTGTAGATGGAGTTTTTCAAAGGCACAAAGGGCAGTTAAGTGCCTGACTCCCATTAAAAGTCAATGGAATTACAGTGACTGTATCTCTCTTGTATTTTGAAAGTTTCCCCCATAATGTTCCATATGCTATTACCAATCCCTGAGCTATCAGTCTCCCAGGGATATGGAGTTTTTAAAACTATTCTTTCAGGAACTGTGACAAATACACGGTGATGTTTCACCATTTTGGGAAAGTACCAAAGGGGACTGATACTTTTAAAATGGATGCTTATAGTAACAGTTTATTTTTGTTTTTACATACTGTATAGGAGATGTATAATGTCAAATTAACTCCTTAGATATGGCACGGCAAAACTGCAAAAGTTGAAAAAACACTTGTGTTTGTATCAATGTCCTTCTTAATTTGTTTTACATTAAAAAAAGCTGCAAAATATTGGATAAGGCGGCGATTTGTTACTAGCTTCTCAAAAAAATAAGAGCCAGGCCTATTAAACAAATTCATTAGTCAGCAGCTAAGTTACAGCAGCAAAGTACAGAATGATGTGAAAGGCATTAATAGAAGACAACATTTAATAAGAAAGAAATTATATTAGTGATGTACTTACACCTCATCAAGGTTACTGAAGGAGAGAGGGGTATGGTAACAAAAGAGACAATGGAATTTCCAGTTGATGGAGTACAGGTAAGAAATGCAGACAAATGAAGTGATGTGACAAGAGAAAGTTAATGGAAAGAATTAAAATGGAAAATGAAAGCTTATATATGAAAAGGTGTGAATTTAACTGCAAAATGGAAATAGAGATAAAATACATGCTGATGAAATGCACATTAATAAAGAACACAGGCAGCTAAGTAGCCTAACTTGTTTGTTAAAAGCTAAATCATGAAAAAATGTTCTGCTTGGTTTTCCCCCTCATTTTCTTTGCTACAGATGAGACTCCTTCCCTTTTTCAGAGTTTGAGGATCTTTATGGTAATTACTCAGGGAGGCACAAGAGGGTGCCAGAGCCAAAGAAAAAGACGTCTAGACAGGCAATGCAGCAATTAGCTCAGGCTAGCGTTTTGTATTTATTTGAAGGCAGGTGAGTGGGGAGGAAGAAATGTCATTTTTAAAATCAGAATAAAATCATTAGTTAATTTGAACACATGCAATCTAATAGCAACAGATTTTATATATACATTGTATTTACTTATGTGTATTCTATATATCATGCTGATTTAACAGCCTGATGCCCTTCAATCCCCAAGCCAAACACTTCTCTAAAATGTAATTAACCCCCACTACAGCAGCAAGTTATATGACCAATACCATGAGGTATACAGCAATAGCACGAAAAAAAACAGTACACACATGAACACCACACAGATATTTGTGACAAAGAAATGCTGCAATACTTAATATGATGAAAAGCAAAATCACACCATGTTCAGTGTACACCAAAACAAATTACTCCATTAAAATGTGGTTATCTGAAAAGATTAAATTGCTTTACAAAATATTAATTTTGCACACAATAATCATACATGCTGGTTATTTCAACAACATAAACCACCATAATGCAACTCCAGTGCTGTTGATACTAACTTTGTCACTGTTGTTACCTGCAAAGGAAGAGAGTATTTAAAGCATTATCTCAATGATTTCCTTTCCCAATACTTCGCAGAATCTTCCAAGTTCAGGTTCCGGTAAAGCTTTGCATCATCTAGGGTCAAGCTGAAATTTATCAGGAACCTATAAGAGAAAGTTTCAGCCCAACCCACTTGAACGGAGTAAGAACGTGAAGCAGTCTTTCCTGTTTTAAGCAGCAGGCACATTCTCATGCATGAGCTGGCAAGAAGGTCTTGGTAAAAGCACAATTACATACAGCCACAGGAAGCAAAAAAGCTCTCCCTTTAAGCCATGGCTAAGAAACAGAAAATTGACCTCTCTTCTCCATCCTACAGTGAAGGCAAAGCAAATCAGGAAGCAAACTATTTGGTAAGGCTGCAGTTTTGATGTTTAGTAAGGTTTTCACCAGGTTTCCAAATGTCATATTTTGAATCATTACACCACATCAATATTTCCACAAAGGGAAATAGAGAGATGCTCAGTGATTTTATTCAAGGCTGTCTCTGAATGCCTACATAATAAAATCACTCATCAGCATCATCCAGAAGAAGTTAGTATTCTGGAGAAGTTCCAGATCTTGAAACATTTAAGAGTTGTGCGAGTAACTCATTTAATTGGTTCGCTTTGGTTTGACCTAACATGAAATGTTTGGCTAATCAAAAAGTTGAAAAAAAAAAAAAAAGATTTTTGGTTGAGTAAAATGTTTTGTTTGACCCAAAACTGAATGACTTATTTTGATTTTGAGCTTTCTAAAGAAAAACTTTTTAAAAAAGAAAGGAAATTTCTTAAATGAAAAGAACTAGAAATTAAACATTTCTCGGTTTCTTGAAATTTAAAACTGCAACAGTTGGGTGAAATAGACATACATTTGCAAAATACTTTGGTCGATGTAAAGATTTTTTGCTCAAAAAATGCTTTTGGCCAAAAAATTTGCACAGCTCTGCCAGTTGTGTTGCCAGGTTGGCTCAATGAACTACAGCTGACAAGTTTTAAACTATAGTTTGGAAGGGAGGCAGTGATTTACATACTCTTGAAATGGCTGGGGGCGGGGATGGGGAGAGGGCAGAGAAAGCAATCAGTCCCTCATGTGTAGGTCTATCAATTCACCCAACCACACTGGAGTGCCAGAGTTAAAAATCTGAACGCTTCTCATTCCTCTTGCTTGCCTCCTCCCTTTGCCCCAATTTTAATATTCTATATCATGGATTCTGAAACTGGGGGTTGAGACCCTTCAGGCTGTCGTGAGGTTATTACATGGGGGGGTCGTGAGCTGTCAGCCACCACCCCAAACCCCGCTTTGCCTCCACCATTTATAATGGTGTTAAATATATAAACAAGTGTTTTTAATTTGTAACAGGGGGTCGCACTCAGAGGCTGCTTTGTGAAAGTTTCAGAATCAATACAAAAGTTTGAGAATCACTGTTCTATATTCTGTTTTTATACACACCCAGAATAATATATTGTTTCAAAAATCTGAATCTACTATACAATGAGAAAATACCCACAAGACTCCACATAGCCAACTCTGCTTTCAATTAAGAAGAAACTGACTTTTTAGCCATGGGACAACTTGACTCTGATTTAAACACAATGGGCTAGATTCAGCTCTCATTTACACCTGTGTAAAAATCAGAACTTGACCCACCCCCCCTTCACTTCAGTGGAACACCACCTGATTTACGTGGGTTTAAGTGAGAGCAGAACGTTTCTGTAAGTATATTCTGCTCTTCAGTTACAACAGCAAAAAACTATCACTTGCTGACAGTTATCCCCGAGTTCGCTCGCTACGCGTAGAGTGTGATGTAAACAGACTGAATTACTCTAGTCTAAATATATTCGTAAAAATGACAGCATAATTTCTCTCAGCGTTTCTTCACCACTACACCTCTTTCACGTGTAAAGAAATTCTTCTTATACGAATAAGGGTTTGCTCAACATTTCAAACAAAAATATTTTGAGTAGAGCAAAGTCCAACAAGTGTAGAGCTTTCTACTTGCCCAACAATAGTGTACATCTACAAGATGCACGACACCCCTTTTTATTATAAAAAAAACAGAACTACTGAACATGTGTATCAGAAGGGGTTTCATTTCAGATGGTCCCATTATTTCAAACTTGCATCCTTCTGTTATTTCAACAATTACCCAACAATTCTGGGTTAAGCAAGGAAGAACTTTACTTGTTAATTAGTATGGTGACTAAGCAAGCTGAAAGTACTGTTACCTAGACAGATGCAGATGTATATGCTTTTGTCATTTTCACTTTAAGGCTTTAAGATTTTTACAGTGGTGCTTAATCAAGTTGTAGTCCAAGTATACTGTACTGTTGCCCTCTATTATAATAGAGAGTATACTTTCACAACCTCACTAAACCTTTTCCAAGTTCCCACACTAGAACTTTCTGCTAAGATTGGCAGGAAGACAGGAATTTCTTCACTAATCAGTTGACATTTTCTTCACATAGTATTCTTTTTTCACTGAATTTATTATTATGCACTTATGCTGCTCAAGGAGCCATCCTATCTTGACTGCTGAAGTGCTAATTCTAGGCCTGCAGCACTACTTCCCTGCGAGAGAGCTGATTTTGAGATCAGTCTGTGTTTTTTTCAGTGCTAGTTACTGTAGCTGAAAGCCCGCTCCCTGTATTATTCTGCCAAAAGTACCCTTCCTGGAAGTATATGGATGGTTCACCAGAGCCTCCTAGTATGGAGTGAGTCTTCAGGACTGCCTGCTTTTTCCCATTTTTAACGCTGTGTGGAATAATGCCATCATCTGTTTGAAAGAGTCTTAAAATTGCCATGACAACAGTGTGACATAAAATGCATAAGGCCTGCATTACATGAATGAACATGTGGAAGAAATTTGTTCTGAAATATAAAAAGGAATATATATGTAATTAGCTCAATTATTTGTTCTTAAAGTGGAATAATTGAAACCATAGTGCTGTACTTTAGTTCAGATACAGATGACTCTCTCTTTGTATGTTACTACTCAAGTTCAGAACCAAATTCATAATGTACCAGAAGAGATTTGCATCAGGACCACATTTTGTTATTGCTCTTCTGATGACCTCTGAACAAAAGTGGAATAATACCTGTATTAACTAGCTTTAAAAGTCTCTGGTAATGATGCAAAACACTTCTTGAACTTCACAAATTAAGTTAAGGTTGTAAGAAAGCAAACTAAGTAAAATACATGAAAACAATTTTTTCTTCAAAATGTAGCTTTATGTGCTTGATTTAAAGATTTGCGGCGCATCAGCAATGCCCAAAACTATCCCGATAGTGTCTTTAAAATGTTAAATTTCAGCCGACATATTAGTGAGTGTTCGAACTTTCAAAATGTCTATAGGTTACCTTTTTGACAATTCTGAATTGCTAAAAATATTCAAACACTTGAATTTTAATGCTGGCTTTTTAAATTAGATGGACACACTTCTGCATAACTGAACTTTCCAGGAAAGCTGCATTAGAACCAATGAAAAACTAGATTCAGTTCAAATTTGATCTTATCCCCATACCAATATTCTAATTTCCTGTATGTAGCAAATATAACAAGTTCTAGATTTTGCCTTCTTTCCCAAACTCTGGATGAAATGCTGTAACTTGCACTATGTGGCCATCCATTGCCAAGTTTATTCTTCCTTAGCATCCGATTTCTGGTTTTCCCCAGTTCTAGATGGCCCTTCTTGACAAACTGCCTCGCATTTTTTTGGGTGCCTGCTGCTTTCTTTACCATGCCGGGACTGAAAAATATACTACTGAGCTTGCTATAAAGTTCAAAACGCATCAAATGAATGATTGCAACTGCCTTTTCAACAAATCTCATATGGTTCAACTCTATTACAGAGATTATACTGCAGACACAAGATGCTTTTAGAAGATCCTCTAATAAGCTCACTTTATACCTAAAGCCAGCCCATTCACATTTATCTTTTTCACAGAGATGTTCTGTGAAAAGAACCCAACTCTTCCAAGATGCGTTTTGTCCCCTTAAACACAGCCCAGTAAATTGTCTGGAAGAAAAGTCCCTCATAGCAAACAAAGTGCCCTGAAGCCACCTACCCATTTTGCTGTTTATTGTCAACCTGGCTCTCTTTGAATCCTCTTCTTTGTCCCTCTGCCACATCCTGGACATTGTCGTTGGAATACGTGTTCAGGGTTGTATTGTATGTGTTAGGCTGCCATGGGACATTAACTGCAGCTTTAGCAGCATTCAGTGCAGGTGAACGCTGGTCAGTACTGGATTTGGCATTAACATGCAGTCCAGATGCAGTGAATGGGGGAGGAGTGACAGTGGCCAATGGTTGAGGGGAAGCACATGACGGAACAGTCGCATGGGCTGGGGTGAAGGCAGATGACGGTGATGGAATGGAAGTGACTTTTGAGGAAGATACAGCTCCAAATGGCCTTGGTGTCTTATTGTAGGCCATGTTCACTGTGGAAGTGACTTTGGGTGCAACAGCAGATGCAATAGGCACAGGCTTAACTACTTCTTTAGGTTCTCCCTATATAAAATAAAAACAAAAACATACAAAGCACACCAACCACATGCAAAATCCTGAATAGACATTTTCATTGGAAACAGAGAAGGGAATTCCCTTTGCTTCAAACCAAGACAGATGATATGTTTTGCAGTAGCAAAACTTCACTTGTACTGCATTGGCAAAATATGGATACATGACACATGCATTTTTGGAGAGGGAAGGATCCTAACATACACATCAAACCTAGAAACCTTAGATATTAGCTACTCTTATCTCATGCAAGATATCCTTGCCTCAATAAGGTTTAAGGATTAAACAAAAGACTCACTCAGATGTAAAGGCCACCAGATTACTCATATATGGTATGAAAGTTTGCTTAATAAATCCCCTTAAGTTTTTTTAAAATTCAAATTCCATCTCAAACCAAATTCAAAACACACACACACAAACACACACACACAGAATATTACATTTTATATCATATGTAGCAATTTGCTGCTTTGTCAAAGGCTATGGGGCAGTGATGAGCTGGAGCCAGTTCGCACCGGTTCACGGGAACCGGTTGTTAAATTTTGAAGCTGGTTTAGAACCAGTTGCTAAGGGGTGGGGAAGCTCAGAGGGGACGGACAGAATGTGGCCTGCGGGACCATCCTATCTGTCCCACCTGAGCTCTCAGCTGGGGAGGCTCCCGTGTGAATTTTTACTGTCCCGGCAGCACTCCAAGCCTTCGGCGGCAGGTCCTTCACTCGCACCGGGTCTTCGGCGGCATTTCCGTGGCGGGTCCTTCAGTGCCGCCGAAGACCCGGAGCGAGTGAAGAAACCGGTTCTTGAGCTTCTGGCAGCTCATCACTGGATATGGGGTACATTAAGTGGTATTTCAAGGGGCACAGCAGCAACTGGCAAACAGCTGAAAAGGAACAAGCCATATACTATGAAGGCTATTTACTTTCTGGTTTTGGTGATGTATGTTTCAGAGATGAATAGAATTCCTCAAACGCTTTTAGGATCTGAGCGGTGTAGACTGTTCTCATGCATCTGTCCTGTAAAGACTTCCTACCTGCCTGCATTTGGTTAAAATATTGGAAAAAGGATGTGAACCTGATGTTTTGCAAGGGTTCTAACATTTAGAATATAGTCTTGCCTAAAAGTATTTTCCAACAGTGCGTGAACTCTGAAGGGTTCTCCACTACTGGGAAGAACTCTGATGAACTGTTCTATACACTTTATCAAGCTAGGCTCCTTTCAAGAGCACAGAAAGGTTATAGCTTCTCTTTGGAAGAAAGAACAGTGGTTTCTCCCTTCAGGATGGGTCAATGCTGCCATAAAGGCAATCAATAAGGTAATAAAAAATAGTTAGAAAATAGGTGTTTGGGGATGAAAAAGCTGGAAGGTAATATATATTTATTGCTTTTTAATTGTTAATCACTGTACTCTTGCCCACTTTTTTTTTTTTCTAAGACCAATATCACTAAGAAAAGCACTCTGATTTCTTGGTATTCAAGACCTTTACGTAACATAGGAAAACTCAGTATGTTGTGCTAAAAGAACAGACTGACTACTAGTGTGTATCAAGAATCGAGTGAAGGAAGTGCAGAAACTAGTCCGACACACTATTTAACTTTAAAAAACATACCTTTTGTACAGGAACAGGATCGGGCTTTGGTGCAGAGTGCGCTCTAAAAAAGAAAAAAACATGTACAAATTTAAAAATACATGTACTTCATTGCTAGGTTATTGAAATTCTTTACCTGTTAAAGTATATTTATCTATCTCCTCCCCCATTAAATGTGGGTGAATTTTCACTAAGCTTAATTATTTCCTGCAAAGAAAGTGAGATTACTGGATTTGAGTCTACAGTATTGCAGCTAACATATGACAAAAAAAATGAACAAACTGGATTCTCTTACTCCAAAACAACATCGAGGGCCCACCAAAACAAAACAGCCAACCATACATAGGAGTGCAAGAAACTACACAAGTTTCAATTAAGTTTCCTTCAGATTGATCCACTAAATGGCAGCCATGACAATTGTATGGCCAGAAATGTCACAGGTTGCTGCAGAAACAACTTTATGTTACCTCAGTATACATATAACAAAGGGCTCATACCTGCACTTAACGCTTTTGGTTTTTCAATAAGAACAAGTAATATACAGAAGTCATTTTGATCTCTGTTTAAGTTTTAGATTAAACTACAATCTTTTCAATGGCCATGAGCCATAATCTCAACAGTTTGCTTATTGTTTTCCTTTCCCTTTATATGATATTACTTCATTTAACTCAACTGCACCAGTCAGACTCTGTTTCAACACAGCACCATCCTTAGAGCAGGGCTAAAGCACAAAGCTTCTTTTGATTACTAAAAAAGGCAGTTCTGCTTTTGAAGGATTATAGCCAAATGAAGTTATTATTGGTACCTCATGTGTTCTTTCAGGTCTTCCAAGATAAGTTTAACATAACTCCAAGTCCTTTGCAGATAGCAACAAAAATTCTTCCTAACAGATGCAAATGGCGGGGGAGGGGAGATAGAAGGGGAGGGATGGTAACGGACATAATGAACACCACCCAAACTTTGTGATACCTACATGTTGCCAGTGCAGCCTTTAGTATCTGAGGGCCTCACCTAAGGTGTCTGTGTCGTAAAAAATACAAAATAAAATAAAAAGTACATAACCATAATAAAATATTTGCATATATACATATATATATATATATATAATATATATATATACACATACACACTGCATCTTCCTCTAAAGATTACTTAATGTTTGAGTTCACCAAATATATAAGATGTTGCTGAGCAATATTAATCTTTTTTTTTTTTTTGCAGGTGATATGGAAGAATGGCTCATCTCCATATTTTAAGACATTGTTGGCTGTATTTGGTACTTGAGCTGTGGCACTTCAAAAATTATCGAGGAAGCAGCAATTATACATCATCCCAAATCATACAACCCTGATTTGCCAAAAATATTTGGAATTGGGTTTCGAATAAGGGAAGCTGGAACATTACTTCTGGAATGCTGCTGACTGGTGAAGAGTTCCGTTAATTGGTGAGCAGACAACTGAGGTTGCACTTTAATTACTAAGTATCGGTTAGGCTCTCCAGATCAGCACTGTATCAGCAGCAGGAAAGTGTGGAAAGCAAGAAATGGAGTTAAATAGATATTTCAGCTGAATCTATATAACTGAAGCTTCCAGTCCTGTTCATTTACAGTCTCAACTTTTATATGCTAAAATATTTACCCTTCCATTTAACTTCCAGGACACATCACCTTCTAATAATAAAATTTCTGCGTGTGAGTAAAGTCCTCAGGTAACAAGTGTGGCTTGTTACTAACTGGTGCAAATGGAGAGATGTGTATTATCCATATATGTTGGCTAAATATGAGGGGCGGGGGGGGGAGAGAGAGAGAGAGAACACACATTTTTTGCCCTGCGTCTTCAGCGTTTGTTCATCACTGATGACACATTATGCACACTTCAACGATAATTCTGAACAGAGAGAGGTTTTTGTCCCTTTGGAGGAACGGGTCTGCTTTCCCAGTTTCCCACAGAATTTCCAGTCTATGAGACTACTGACCTCAAGACCTATAAAGCACTGGGGTGCATCATTAATCACTTCTAATTGAAGAGTTGTCAATTTACAGCAACAAAAGCAACAAGAGAACAAATGGCAACACGCATGGAAAGATTTCTTTTTATTATGACCATAGCTAGCATGAAACATGTATGTCATTCCATAGTTTGATACACTTATTGATGAAAAATTGCTATAATCTAAGCTGCCCCAGCAGTGTAAAATGAAAAATGTTCATTTTTGAAGTTTGAGTTTTGTACCTAAAGATTCAACCAGAATTTTACACTTTGCTATCTCCTATTTTTAGACCTGGAATTATCACCATATTCGAAGGGTGAGGAGTAATTCACACCACCACGCTGATCAGTCTCCTTCCTAAAACTCTCCTGCGAAAGAACACCAAAGTGGAAGTAGGTGTTCAGGAAAATGGGAAAGCAAAGAGACAAACTCTCTCAACATTATAGCTACATTTTTATCATCCTTTCCTTGACAGCCCTCTCCTAAAGTTTTCAGGAGATTATAACTGGTCCTTAACTTTTAGGCTGAGAGAAAAAATTTTAAATGACATTTCAGTTTGAGATACGTTTATGCATACAGTAGTTTGAAGTAGTACTTGCGAAGTGTTATTTTCTAATGATCTGCAAACTTATTTTGTCTTCAAAATGAACATGTAAAAATGCTATTTAAAAAAAAAGTTAATTCAGTTTCTGATCATTAAAAAAGTTCACAATATTCTTTTAGCCTTTGGAGTCAAACAGCATACCATTACTTAATTTTACCCTAAATACATTTGAGACTAGCTAATAAATGTGTTTCACGTTCCAAAACAGTTTTACTTGGGTTTGTTAACTCCAGACCACAACCAGCTAAATCTGTGGTTTATCTCAGATCACAAAGAAAATGCTTACCAAGCAAACTGAGCCACCAAGATGAGAATGAGAAAAATGTTATGGTGGCTATGCAAGTCAGTAAAAAAGAAAAATTCATAATTTAGGCTGAAACGCAAAGTGTTTCCAACACTTCGACCAAATGGAATGCTTCCTTAAGTACTTTAATAAGCACAAATGCTCTTCGTATTGTGACATATGCTAACGTATTAAAATAGTTTTAAAGCTTGTCTGCCTGCAGTATCATACGTGTCCCTTCTAGCTACACTCGATTTATGTCCTACTTTGCCATGTCATGACTTAAATGCCAGTTTTGCAGATAGCGATTTTAGTGGGTAAAGTGGGCTGAGGAGGACAACAAACCATCAGGGCTTTCACAAATCATGAAATACTTTTTTTTTACCATTAAAAAAAAAGTCACTTTATTAGGCTTGATGGTACTAATTGGAAGGAAGGTCTCTTGCTCTCCTTTGGTGTAACTAAGGACACCAGCTGATCAGAAGATGAACCAATCTAATTTCCACAACAGTAGTAAATTTATGCCAGCTCTTGTTTAGTATAATTCAATATAAAGACCACAAAACCCATTCATAAAACAGAGTCTCCAAAATGTTTTTCTTACAACAGTTTGTCACCATAACAAAAATTATAAAATCAGAACACTTAGAGTGTTTTATTCCTCCAAAGTTTTGTACTTTCAGCATGACAGAAACCATATTCTACATGTTTTGAAATTTATATGTAAGCAATGGTCGAATGTATATACATCAACGTTTAGAAACACTTCAGTTCATATTTCTGCTTATCATATATACATTTTGTGTTTATGGTAAACCAAGAGGAAGCTAATAAAATGTATATAATGTAAAGGTACTATTAGCAGGCCTATTACCAGACTGGCAGAGAACTTTGGGGGATTTTCCTTTAAATTTGCCACCACCAAATTGACCCTTACTCATCCTATGCTAACCTCAAAGTTAGGTTTACCTCACTCAAGATATTAATTAGTATGAATCCGTAAAAAGTCAAGTTAGACTTAGATTCCACTGATACATACCCATATCTCCATTTACTATTTGGGAGATTAAAAATGCAACTACACAAGGTACAGCTAAAACCCTGTATTATTCATAACAATTCACATGTTTAAATTGTGGACTAAGAGTTTATAGACATGAGAGGAGTCAAAGTGATCCTGGAGTCCACAATTAAATAATCAAATAATATTTTTAAAATAACTAGATACCGCACAAGTAATGCTATGAATGTACTGCTGGTAAAACCATTTTTTTAAAAAAAGGGGAAATAAGAGAAAAGGAGAAAAAAATCCTGTGCTCAAGGATATTTATTACCACAGCTTCTAACTACCTTGGTCATCTCCCAGAATACAGACATGTAGCCTTTGGCCCTAGGGTAAGGGAGCAGGATTATCCAAGACTAGGTCCAGTTATTCAGCCTTTGTGAGCCACAACACCTCTCTGTTCTTGAAGTAAGGTTTAATCTCAGACTTTATAAACTTAGACAACCCACCTGTACCACATCAGATTTCTGTCATAATCTGACTTTGCTAGTTCAGAATCTAAGGTAAGGAGAAAGTATTTGTTCTGCACACTTGGTGAAGCCATGTAGCCAACACACATTTTAAACAGCTCGGAGTCTTGTTGTAATTCTGGGTCTGACTTGTGGTAATTATTAAGTAATGAAGTGTTTCTAAAACTGCAAAATTGCAAATCATCAACAAGTTTGCTATTACACTAAATATTCCTCTTGTATCTATGAAGTCACCTGCTTCTTCCAATATAATATTTCTAGTTTATGCATTAGTCAGTAAGGATAGATAACCCTGCTCAGATAAAAGAAGAATCTAACGTTCAACCAAAACATTAAAAACAATGTTATTAAATTCATTTTGCATTTGTGAACAATATCTCCCTCCAGCTATATTTGCAAATATCACGTTGCAGTATTTCCCAATTCCATTCAGAATTAGAAAACAACAAAATACAATGAGAAAGACTTTGCCATATGGTGCTTCCAGTCCTACAAGAATTCTCTTTTGAGACTTCCAGCCTATTTTTGCAGATGCAAGAGATTTAAACAATTAACTCAGGTTTTGGATAAGCATCTGAAATACTGTGTGTATACTAAAGAAGGACAATGAACCTTAGGAAACTGGCTCATCACTATTGATCAACCAATCTGTAAG